AGGGCAGGGATCTTCAGAGCAATTTGGACCCTCTGGCATCCCCTCCCCAGGCTCTGAAATGTGCCAGGTACATTATGAATTTTCCGTAGTAAACTGACAAGTGAGTCATGAATCGGGGTTCTGTTTACAGGCTGTCCAAAAGCTAAATATTTGTAAAAATCTGATCGGCACTGTGCAAAATGAAAGTGCCAGGGACAAGGGAGGAATCAATACCATCAACGTCACTGAACAAAGTCAGACCGGGGCTAGCTCTGCGCTGATGGTGCCAGGAAAATGTGCTCTTCTCCAGGTCAGAAGATAGGACATTGGGTGGAAAATCAGCCCCTCAGTTAGAGCCCGAGGATTTCTGGATAGAAAACAGGGTAGGCCAGGCCAGGCTGGGGCCTGGGCCATCAGCTGGGGCCATGGCACGGTCAAGTCCTTGTGATCCCAACGTCATCATGACATTACTCACCAATTTGTGCTTGGACAGGCAAGTGGAAAGGCTTTGAAGCCCTGGGTGGGGGTGGGGGGGGTGGATCAGAGACAGCCTTTGGTCAAGCCTGACATATAGTGCAAGTTTTGGCCTCTTTCTTAGAAGAAAATCTGGACCTCTCCCTAGTGTCCCCACATTCTCAGCTCTCCCTTAACTGCTGGGGGAATGCAGTGGGGAAGCTGGGAGGCAGCAAAGGAGCACAACCCAGATTTCAATAAATCTCTCCTCTTCCATACAAAGACACAGCCACCAAAGATAACAAGAAAGATCTATACAGGGCACCTGGGTGGCTCAGTTGGTTAGGCGACTGCCTTCGGCTCAGGTCATGATCCTGGAGTCCCTGGATCGAGTCCCGCATCGGGCTCCCTGCTCGGCAGGGAGTCTGCTTTGCCCTCTGACCCTATCCCCTCTCATGTGTTCTCTCTCATTCTCTCTCTCTCAAATAAATAAATAAAATCTTTAAAAAAAAAAAGAAAGATCTATACAAGTTGGTAGAGAAATCTCCTATGATCGCTTATTGAGTGAGAAAAGCAAGTGGGATAAAATAGAATGATCTTTTTAAAATTAATATTCATACAGATCTATAAACCTCTCTCTATAGCTGTATACAGCTGTTAACAATGGTTACTCACGGGGGGTTAGAAGAGGGAGTGACTTCTATTTCGTACACTTCTGTATCATTTGTTTTTATAACAAATGTTGCATAATTTTTAAGTAAAATCTTACTTTAGTTTCCTCTTCCAGTTTCCCTGAAAATAGTCACTGAACACATGCAATAAGGAGCTTGGGATAACTCACATTTGGCTCCAATTTTAATGAGCATCTGCTCTGGATCCCAGACAGAGGAGCTGATAGACACCCACGCTGGAGGCCGGGGCTGGACCAGAGGCCAGGATGCTCGGCACTCTCCTCTGTGGAGGGCCTCCTGTGTGCAGACACATTACAACTCTTCTCTCACTAAATCTGTAGGGTTGACTCAGTCAGTCAGCAAATACCCGAGCACCTACTATGTGTCACGGCACATGCTAGGACCCTGATTCACATGAGTGAAGAAACAGACATGGTACATGCTCCAAGTCATCTTACAAACAGGAGGTTTGGAGAACTTAAGCAACTTTCCTAAGATGACTCAGCTAATAATGGAAGAGGGGCGATTATTTTTGACCCTGGTGATCTGGAACGCCTCCCCGAGGAAAGACAGCATTTGAGCCCCACCTGAAAGGAGTAAGACTTGGGCAGACAAGATGGTACTCCGAGCCAAAGGACCTGAGGGGCAGGGGCCAAACGGAAATGCAGAGCGCAGATTTGGGCCACAGTGATGATTCCAGAGTGACTGGAGACCAGGATGGAAGGAGACGTGGAGAGAGACCAGCCTGGGGAGCGGGCCAAGGTCATGGTGTAGGGCGTGAATGCCCTATCAGCAGCTTCAACTTTATCCTGGAGGTCACAGGGAGTTAAGAATTTTGTTGTTGTTTCCCTTGCGGGGGTGATGCGATCAGACAAGCTTTAGGAAGCTGGAAGGAACAGTGTGGCCCAGAGTCTCTGGAGCCCGTCTGCATGGCTTTGGACCCCAGCCCTACCACTCACAAGTTCTAGAATTTGGGGCAAGAGACTTGGGTTCTCCCACAGTACCATGGGGATGTGCTAAGGGTGCCGGCCTCAGAGTGACTGGAAGAATTCGATGTCCTAATTTAGGCGAGGTTCACAGGCGTGCCAGGTGCATGGTGACGTTAAGCCGATGTCAGCCATTAACTCTCATTTCTCCAGTGTCCGTGCCAAGGATGGAGTGGGTGAAACGGGAGGCAGGCGTCACTGCAACCGTCTGAGTAAGAGGTGAGGTCTCGCACAAAGCCTGTGAGGATGGAGAAGCGAAGTGTGGAGACAAGATTGGAGGCGAGTGGACAGGACAGGTGAATGACTGGCCAAGGGGGAGAGGTGGGGGGGAGCCCAGGGTGACTTGGGCTCCTAGCAGAGGGGACAGACGGGATGGGGCTGCCAGGAGGGCAGAGACCGTGGCAGGGAAAGCCCCAGGTGGGGGCTGCGGCCATGTTTCAGGTGACTGGGAAGCCACACATGGAGGTCATTCAGTACAGTCAAGGACTTTATTTGACCAGAAAACCAAGGCCCTGTTGTTGACACTCAGCATCTCTGGACCATGAATTCTGAGGCCTCGGGACGTGGCTGAGGAGGAACAAGTTGGGGGCCCTGGCCCCAGAGCAGGCCACGTGACGGTGTGCACCTCAGGGTCCCCGCCCCGGCCCTGTGTGGCCCTCCGGGCGCCCCCCATGTGAACCGGGACACGTCGCTCTAGCTGAAGTCTGTGTCTCACAAACAGACCAGAGGCTTTGATCCAGCCTCTCTGTCGGCCACAGGCCTTCGGCTGGAAATACCACATTGCCAAAAAGAGCCTCAAAAAATGTTTTATTTTCAATGAGCCATTTGCCTACCAATTCTCCTCAGAACTATGAAAAACAAAAATAAGCAAACAAACCATTAAAAACAAAAACTCCCGGAAGTCGAAGGCCACAGGGCGGTGGGTGGAGAGAACGGGGAGCAGGGACAAGCAGGCCCGTTTCCTCGTCTGAAACTCGGGTGGCGACGTTGGTTCCCATCCACCCTGGCGGTTGTGAAGGCCACGGCGTTCAAAAGCCTGCTCGGGAATGTTCGGTCCGCTGTCCCTCACACAGTCAGAGGGGCGAGACCAGTCAGGATGGGAGGTTATGTGCTCTGATTTCCCCACAGTGGGATGAGGATTCACATTCTTTTACACCAAACTACCCGACACCGCTGTCTGGGGGCTTATATCTTCTGTTTGCACATTGACACCTTGGAAGTCACCCCTGGACAGATGGGGAGGGCCTGGTCTGAACGCCACAAGGGAAGAGTTAGGAGGGCGACAGGCTGGTCAAGAGAGCTCAGCTGAGCCACCTGGACACCGTGTCGGATGTCTGCCTCCTGGGAGACACGGCCATGCTCCGTAAAAGGGTGACAGAAACAATCAAACAGCGGCATCGTTTGGGGATAGAAAGCTCTTTTTATTCCATCATCACAGACCTTTTTTAAGAAAGGGATTTCAGGGCTCCTGATTCATCTCTCATGTCTAGAAATCTAAAAGGCATTGTTACCCCTGTCATGGGTGGAGGCCCCCCCAGCTCAGGATCTCGGGAGAGAGGAGGCATTCCTTCAGGGTACCACAATGCCGGGGGCAGCCACACAGAACTGGGTGTGCAGGGGCTTCTCTCCTGTGGTGTCTAAGAGCCCGAGAAAGGTCAGAGCTCGGGGGCGCCTCACACAAGCTCCAAGCACCAGGTCAGGGCAGGGAGATGGCCGAGCTGGATCCCGGCTCGAGAGGGTCCCCATCTGAGCCCCAGATCAAGTGCAGTCCTCAGGCTGTCTTCCCAGAGTGGTCCTGACAGGCGAGGCTGGGGAGCTGCAGTGTGTCCTTTAGGCTGCACGACTTACATCCACGTGGGCAGAGATGTGGGATCCCTGCAGAGAGCCCCATTCGAGTGGAAGGCGGGACAGGTAAGAACCCAAGCAGGTGGGAGCTTGGGCTCTCCCGCCAGCCAGCCCCTACCCCTTTTACTGCAAGTGCAGGGGCTCTGGGTCAGGGAGACCTGGGTTCACATCCCGCCCTGCCACCTTCTGCACGTTACTTGCTCGAGGTTGTTTTTGTCTGTTTCCTTGCCTGTAAAGTGGGGATGATTAGATTGTGGTGAGGACTGAGGAGGTGATGCATGTAAATCACACCAGCCATTCCTGGGGGACTAGAGGCACGTCCCTTGGCCTCCCCGAGCTCACTTCGGGGCAGCTCCCCCCATGCTAGGACCCACCAGGGGTGGGTGAGAAGTGAGGCGTCCCTTCGAGAGGCACGAGCAGAGGACGAGCAGAGGGCACCTCCTCCTCCCCCACAGTGTCCCCCGGGTCGCTGTCTCCTTGGGAGGGGACTGCCGGTGGGGACTCTCGGCATTTCTTCTGTTTTCCTGTTTAGCGGCTGAGGCTCCCGTATAGTTTTCACCAGCTCATCACGTGACTCTTTTCTCCCACAGCGCCTCGCTTTTCCTGCGACCCCAAGACAGGAACAAGGCAGATCCATCTCCCATGTCCACCGTGGGGTGCAGAGATACATCTGACTCCAGCCCAGACTCAGCTGTTTGGCTTAATTCCCCCGAGGCACAGTGGTCTCTGGCAGGCCCTGAAGCCAGGAACCCCAGCAGAGGACACTCAGATGTGACCAAAGTAACACTGTCCCCCCGGGCCCGGCCCCCCTGCATTTCCCCTTTCCTTATTTGTCTGTAGGAGCTGGGAGTGGGTGGACGGCAAGCTCCAGTGGCCTGGATGACTCATTTCCTTCTGAGAATCAAGAGTGGGTATTGGTGGAAGCTCGAGGCCCACGAAGGGGGGCACTGGATGCTTCTGGAAGCAGAATGGTGAGCGAGGCTGCCTCCAAGCAGTGAGAGGCCATTAAACTCAACGAGTATGTAAATTTTGGGGGATAGAAAAGAGCAAGCATGAGAGAAAGAAGAGCCGTTTTATCCCTTTATTATATACAATATTAAGGCACAAGTTTAAGCAGCAAAGAATAGGAAAATCTTTGGCTGATCAACAGGATCAACATTTGCCGTGGGGGGCTCCCCCCGACTGGCACACACACCCACCTGGCTGTGCAGCTCTGCAGACACCCCTTCGATACGGACCAGCAGGACGAAGATGCCGAAAGGGCACACCAGAGTCCACTGGAGGGAACAGAGCATGCTGCCACCAAGCATGGTGACGACACATGGCGGGCGGAGAGAGCGGGTGCCCGAGGGCTGTCCGAGTGTTGGCTGAGGTGGTTGCATGCGCCTGCCCGTGGTTCACAGACTTCCACACAGATTCTGTAGGTGCCCCGTGAAGAAGGAGGCTCCACGGTCCCTCCACAGAACCGGGAAAACACCTCCGTTCCAAGAAAACCACTGTGGATAAACTTGCTTACATTCTGTTTTGTAATAAATACTTGCCGGTGTCTCCACGCGACCAGAATCCGAGGCAAAATCACATGTAAACACACCACTGGGCATCGTCGACGCTTTGAGAGCTGATACGAGAAAATGTGGTGTATGTACCTCATTATATTGAGAAGAGTATTTTAATTCTGTGAAGAAGCAGAGTTTTATGACAAAGAAACACTTCAGTCATCGCATTACACGACAATAACATGCACTTAAGTATTACAGGGCTTTCAGGAGCACCTACTGGAGGTCTCTACTAAGGAATACGCACCTCCATCTGCGTATGCAGAGAGGAGAACACATACAAGGCATGGCAAGGGAAGAGATTTTTAAAAGCGAACCCACTAGAAGTTACATGTACTGATGACTATTGTCCTCCTTGGAAGGGGTCACTTTGAGAGGCTCCAGGAGTCCAAAGACCCATTCCAAGGAACATTTTCGGGATTTTTCTTTTTTGAAAGGTAAAATGGTATGACCTTCATCACCCATCGTTATTTATTCAACTGGGATGATTTCCAAACTTAAATCCATCCTCAAAGGATGAAGATTTCTCATCTGTGAGGATAAAGGAACGGGCCAGGTCCCAGAGGCCATTCTAACAGAGGCGTTTGCAAACTGTTTCTCCTGGGGACAGCAATCAGCACAGAGTCTCCCAAAGGGTCACCGCTTAAGGAAGGGGTGAGATGAAATACTTGGATCTTCCAGATATTAAGCAAGACAACCCGACACACAACCTTGTAGTCATACCTCATACATATGCAGACATAGACACACATCTTTATATATCATTAAATTACTAAACAAGAAAAGGATATACTACTTAAAAGGAAGAGAGAAAAATCGACTCCTTAGTTCCAGAAGAAATCCATTTACTGAAATGCTGACCTTTACGTGCTCCCAGTTGGTCAACTTCTGGAAGCTCCTTAATTACTCTGCCCATCTTCTTAATTACTCTGCCCAACTGAGCCATACATCAGAGGCAAGCTGATTAAACCGTCCTCACATTGGAGGAAGACATTTTAAACACATCCATTAATTAGCAAGAAAGAAGAGAAGAGAAGCCACATTAATAAAGCATCTACCCTGCCGCGGGCCTGGGGATGTGAAGAAGCCAGCCGTGGGCTGGATACCCTCTGGCTACGTGAGGGCTTTACCGGTTAAGAATATCCGCGGGCTCCCACTCACCATGGCCTTGGGACCCTTTTGCTCAGGAGGCCAAGTTCACTCACAGCTCACAGCACACTCCCCCGACTCCAGCGCCGACTGGAGCAGGACTTTGGTTTTGGAAAACGGGTGGAGCTCCACGCAGTCACGCATGAGCTCCCTGCCCCGACACCTTTTAAAAGCCCGATCTATTCTTCACTGCCTCCTGGGACCGCAGCCTCCCCTGACGTCTGCGCTCGCAGCGGTCTCTGCAACTCGCGAGGCTGCAGGGGAGCCGGCTTGTCTTCCCATCAGGGGAACCCAGGCATCAGGAGGTCACAGGGGGCTGAGGGCAACCGCCGGGGAGAACGGGAGTGATGGCCAGCTCCTCCGCAGCGGCCATTCCAACAGCCTCTCCCCTGAGGTCTCTGTTCCAAGATCAGAATTTGTTAAGGAGCCGCTATCTGGCTATCGGACCCCAACCCCGGGCAGTCAAATCCACGACGCGTTCCCAAGAGCTAGCCCCGCGGGACGGAGGAGGGAAGGGCCCCGCTGCTCTGTGCGCTCCAGCCAAAGCCCTGCGACAGACGCGGCAGTCCTGGCCTGCAGGCCTGCCTGGAAGGGGCCCAATTCCACACCGGCACTGGCCACCGGCCTCCGGCAGGTAGCACAGAAGCCAAGAGAAGGTTCTGCGCATGCTCTGGAAGGGGTTGCTGGAACCCAGCGGCATCTATTCCGTAGGATACCCCGGTCAGCGTGCAGACACTGCCAGGCGACCCATTCCGGGAGGAGGCCCAAATTACCCCGGCAGGTCTTCACACGAAGCCAAAGCCTTTACCCTTCACCCCGAGACGGGACTCGCGAGGGCCACAGTCCGACTCCACGGAGTCCTGCCGTCCAGGCCTCCGGACAGCGCACGAGGGTGTTTTAGATGGATTTTGTGGCCCTGCGTATGATGGAACGTGGAGACTTCCGTCTGTACCTCGTGTTTAGGGGCAGTTGTAGGAGTTCTGGGCTCTGGTCCTCTTCCTTAGTCCCCGAGCGGTGCGGCAGCTATGCGTGTGCGTGCGCGTGTGCGTACCTGCGCACACGCACACATCACAGACGGGGCCGAAGGCGGCCAAGACGTGGCCTGAAAGATGGCTGTGACCCATGTTGGTGGCAGTCCAGCCTGTGACGGGGGCACAGCTACCCTCTTCTCAGGCCCTTGGTTCAGATGCCACTGCTGTGAGCCTTTGGGGAGGGACTGAACCTCCCTGAGCCCGTTTTCTCCTCTCTGAAATAAGGCTAAAACTAGCCCTTGCTCTCCAGGTGGCTCGAGGACTCATTAAAAGGTGCTCACCGCCCTGCTTGCCTACAGCCAGCACCAAAAAACAGAGCTGGTATTTCTTTTTCTGAACATCAAATGAGATCAAGGATTGTAAATGGCCCAGAACGCAGAGCAGGTGCTCAGTGTTTGTGATCTCTTGCTCTGCCCATCTTCTTAATTACTCTGCCCAACTGAGCCATACATCAGAGGCAAGCTGATTAAACCGTCCTCACATTGGAGGAAGACATTTACTTTAATCTTGAAAGTAAGGTTCTTCTTAAAAAATAAAAAAAACAAAAACAAATGTGCAAGCAAGGCTTCCAGAAAGCTGTGAACATGAAAAGCACTGGGGCGGTGGGGCGGGGCTGGCATAGCAGGAAATCTCCCAGAAAAGAATGCATCTGAAAGCTAGAGATCCCTTTTCTTATAGCAAGTTAGAAGAAAAGAGACTGCCAAAGACCACAGCACAACTGAAAAACGGTGATGTTTGTGTTTGCATTCTCATTCTGACAATACGCTGGCGGTCTGGGTGACCAAGGGCAGCACCCGAGCCTGGCACCTCGTGCCGAAGGGTGTGCTGGAGCAGAGAGACGAGGCTTGGGGGACACTGGGCTGTGGCTCCCACTTTCCCCCACTTCTAGGAGAGACAGCTCAAGTTTGAGGTGGCCCAGATGTGGGTTGCGGGGACTGGCAGAGGAGATTGCCCTCCTATCTCCAGACACTTGCATTCATTCATTCCTGGTCCATTCCCAACATTAATTAAGGGGTCAAAACATCCTTATGAGAAAGAGTCGCCATCGCCTAAACTTCACCACCTGTAAAACGTGATGGGGAACCAAGAGTGGGGCGGGCCCCCCTGCCCCATCCCCACCCGCATCCACACTCCCACGGCCCCGGCACGAGGCAGGCTGCCTGGCCCCCAGAACTGCTCTGGCTTCCTGAGCCTGAGGGGACCAGAGGAGGCCAAGAGCATGCGGCACAGAGGTCAGTGCCCACTGCAGAGCAGGGCTGGGGAAGAGGCGATTCCTGCTCACTGTCACACTGGCTACGTCCGCTCCGGCCGAGGCCACTGCCATCCTCCCTCCTCCTCTGCAGTTTACACTGCAGTCTTCCCTCCACCACTACTATCTGGGGAGGCTACAACTCCACCCATCTTACACCCCAAAGACCAACTCTAAAAGAAGCCACCCAAGCAAAATTCCAGGAGGAGTCTTGTGTTCAGGGCTCTATGTAGGTGGCACTTGAGGACGTCTCAGACGGAGGCCGTTTTTCTTCCTTCCCTAAGTAAGCACGAGAAAAGGGCCCTGGGCTCAGAAGCATCCAGGTGACCTGGACGGAGGAAAGTATCAGGACCCCGCAAGAACATCTGCCAGCCTGATTAGCTTCTCCTCTTCCCTGATCCAGCACCTCTCAAATTCGTAAAGAAAGCCAGTGTCTGAGGAGTTAGAGGCCCACGAACCCACTCACTCCTGGCTCTTCGACACGGTGCCTCTGGCTTACTTTGGTCAACTTGTCCCACACTGAAACCTCGACACACGTGACCGCACTGTATATATACTGGCCCGTTAGGTCACAGAGCAAATTCATGACAAACACTGATGTGCTAACATGGAAACCTGTGTGCTTGTCCACAGCGACCAGAGGAGTGCGAGGGGGTGGGGAGACTGATGAATATGCTCATGAGCCACAGACTCTAGAAAGTGGTACAAGCTGTCGGGTGAATCTCTGGATGCCACCAAGTCAAGTGTCATTCATTTGCTGGAGGGCAGTCCTGAAAGTCTTACTAACCCAACAGAGGGTAGAAACCAGGCTCTGTGCAAGAGAGCAGCTGTGAGACAGAAGAGCCAGGGCCAGTGACCGTGGAATCTTCCGCCTCATCAGAACTTCCCTAGTTCCCAGTCACAATGAGCCTAATGACTCCAAGGTCGGGGAGGCAGCCAGGCAGCCAGCATATGGCTCCGTCCCACTGGTCACTACTGAACAGAGATCAGACTCTGCTCTAATAAATCCCAGACCTGAGGAATTCCGCCATGTTGTAGTAACAAGGAAAAGAAGTGAAAGAAAAGAAGAGTAAAATGAAAGAGAATAAAGCAGAGGAAGAGACGAAACTCAGAACAGTTAGGGAGTTTGAGCACCAAGATCATAATGCTCCCTTCCTGTTCCGTATTTTTATGGCTGAACCCAGAAGCTAAGAAGCCCCGCCATCTCCTGAAAATCCAAACCAAGCAGGGAGTTTGGTGAGAACCGCCTGCTAAATTCCCATCACCCGCAGACACATCTTCTCACTGCCAACCCCACACACATTCACAGGAAACCCCGATGGCACAGGTGACATTACATGACGCCGAGATGCGCTCTCGGAGATTTCTAGAAGGTTCTTCTTAAAAAATAAAAAAACCAAAAACAAACATGCTAAGAGGCAAGGAGAATGGGGATATTTCAAGGAAGATCCATGTTCAGGTTTATGTGTTTATAGCCAGAGAGTGGGTGTACACAGACCCTCCCCAAGAGATACACTTTCTATACAGTGAAAATCCCACTTCCTGTGACCGTCTTGGTTTCCAAACCTACATGCGTCTTCTCTCTTCCACCATATGAGGTACGAATCCATAGCATTCTCCTCATCTTCAGTCATGTAGGTCTCCTGATTATTTTTTTAAACGTTTATAAAAAGTGTTCTTACTAATTTAAGATCTTATCAGTTCACATCGTTCCTGATTTCCCATCCACAACTTTCTCGATCTTTCTTCTCCCTCTCGGCCACGCTCCTCGTTTGTCAAGATCCCCTCACAGAAAGCAGCAGGGACGCCAGTGTTAGATGAGAACTTCCATCATCTCTCCATCAGGGAACTCGGGCTTGTGGAGCAAGCTGCTGACGCGGCCCTTGTGGTCAGGGGACTTCCCGTGGCCCAGAGGGTTCTCTGCCAAACAGAAGGGGACATCAGCAGCCGGTCCCGCAGAGGGGCGCGGGCCTGACCGGCTCTCTCTAAAATGGAACCATTTCTAGTCCCAGCGCTCAGCACCAGCATCTGTGGGGGAGGCCGCAGAACCCAGCCCCCAGTGCAGAAGAGCGAAAATGATAGGCCCTGGGATTCAGACACGAATAACAGAACCAGGGTGGTGCTGGGAAAGGTTAAGTGGGTGAAGAGGGCCTTGGGGATGTGTGCGAGGACCCCCTCGAGGCCACTGTCCCTCTCCCCAAAACCATGCAGTGTTGGGCCTACAAGTCACGTCGTTTTCACATGTTCCCTGCCTTGGAAAAGTGTGTCTCAAGAATTCAATATTCAAGGGACACCTGGGTGGTTCAGTGGGTTAAGTGTCTGCCTTCAGCTCAGGTCATGATCCCAGGGTCCTGGGATCTAGCTCCACATCGGGCTCCTTGCTCAGTGGGGAGCCTGCTTCTCCCTTTGCCTGCCGCTCCCCCTGCTTGTGCTCTCTCTCTCTCTGACAAATAAATAAATAAAATCTTAAAAAAAAAAAATTAAATGTTGAAAAAATGACAGACAATGCTGTGTTTCCTTGTCTGTTTTGGGAGGATGAAACTAAAGCAGCCCCTTGGAGGAAATGGTTAATTTATGCCCCCGAGAGCCCCACCTCCTCCAAAGAACTCAAGAGGGCTATCCCCATGACTCAGATTGATCCAAAGGCACGTCTGGTCTTTCCCTGGACGCTTCTGGACTCATGGCAAGCCCACCCCACCCAGGCTGTCTTCTCTTAGATATTTTAAAGCACCTCATTCTTACTGGCCTGAGGGATGTGCCAGAAGTCTACCTGCCCTGCAGTGAAATCTGCCTTCCCCTTCACTCAGGAGGGTACCCCAACCTTGAATCCCTGAAGGGCGAACCCCTCCAAGGCAATATCTACATACCTGGTGCCTCTGATGTGTATGGTATCTGGCACTAGCTCCCAAGACACTGGGGGTGGAGGCGGAACCTAATTCCCTAACACCCCGCAGGGGGTCGATTCTCACCCCCTGGGAAAGGGCTGATTACAAAAGCATTCATTAAAAGGGTACCTTCAAGTTATGTACTCTTTAAATGGCAATCAATTAGAAGTGTCTACACATATTTCATTCCCATAAGAATAAAGTGCATTAGGGTAAGCATAATTATAAAGAACCCCATGAAGTGGGAGCTGATTGGGGCCCCTGGTACCCACCTCCCCTTACCCCACCCCCAGGTCCCAAGCAAAGGCTCCCTCCCCGGCCAGAGGTCTGTGGTTTTTCTCTGGGTAAAGGGAGGGAAGAAGCTCATACCCGGTTTCTCTGCAGCCCCTTTGGCCACCGGGTGTTTCAGGACGGGGCTGTTGGAAGGGGTCATGCTCAGCCGGCCGCGGCTGGGCAGGGAGGCCATGCTGGGCCAGAAGAGCTCAGCGCTCTTGTCCGTCTGGGTGCTGTTGTCCTTGCTGCCCGTCTTAGCGTGGGCGCTGCCGGCCAAGGTGGTGGAGGCGCTGGGGGACAGCGCGGCGGCCAGGGTGGTCGAAGCGTGCTCATGGTGCTCCTTCCCCAGCAGCAACCCTGAGGGCACAAGGACAGCGGCTTCAATGCCATTCTTTGAACAAAAACAAACCAAAAAAACCCCCCGAGTCTTGGAGATCATTTCTTTCTCGACGGAGGACTGCTTTATTCATTCATTGGCTCATTTACCACGTGCATTTATAAGCGCTTATCATGTGCCTGATAGGAGGACAACCACTGAGGGACCTAACAAAAAAAAAGAAAGGCCTAGTCCCCTCTCTAAAACTATGTGGGTTTTTTTTCTTCTGTGGAGGAGAAAAGTTGTTACGTAAACTGGTGATGATGAGTTATGATGAACAGCGGGATAAAATCATGCCCAGGGTAGTGAGAGATGCCTAACAGCCCGTGTCGAGGGGAGGGGGCATTCCTGCCAGGCTTTCTAGAGACGATGCCGTCCTACGGCCCAGGGGTGCTAGCCCTGAGCAGCGCGTGTGTGCTTACGCACAGAAGGCTTCGTGGATCTGCGACACAGAGCCAGTGGCCTGCAGCTCTTCTGAGCAGCCCACAAGACCGCCCCACTCTTGGTCATGGAGGGGCTCCCGCAGGCCCAGGTTCAAAACCAAACACGCTTCCCGGTCAGGGCAACCCCGAGTTGTGCACATTATTCCCCAAAGCGGATCCCTTGCAGCGGAGAGCCATAGCCCCCAGGAAGCAGGGAGCCAGCTGGGTCATTTAGCCCTGCTCCCCCCTGCTGCCCCAAGCGGAGGTTGCCGTGGAAAGGGGATGTGCCGGCCAGGAGAACAACGTCTGTATTTCTAAACAGTGACACAGGGCACGCCCGCCGGAAAGCGCCAGCGCCCCAGAACACTAGCCCACAGAAAAGGTGGTAGTAAGCACAATCAAGTATCCGTTCACCTAAGCAGCCAGCAATCCACAGAGGATCCTGGCCAGGGCTATTTCAAGGTGCCCATTCATAAAACACCGCAGAGCAGTTCAGTCTGTCCACAGTAGTACTTCTCCACGTGTAACGTGTGTGTCCATTACTTGGATATATTGTGAAAATGACGGTTTGGCTCAGTGGGCGGGCCTGGGGTTCTGCTTCTCTAAGGAGCTCCGCTTCTCTAAGGATGCTGGGGTCCTCCCACTGCACTGTGAGGAACAAGGGTCTCAGGCGAGGTGCTTCACTCACACCAGCTCACTTTCTACTTTACAACACTCCTCTGACACAGGGCCTGTCCTGTGTCTTGTTTTACAGCAAAGGAAAGGGGAGCTCAGAGAAATGAACCTCTCGCAGCTAAGAAGTCGCAGAAATGGGATTCAAAGGCGTCTGTACCTGACTCCAAGGCCAGCCCATGTTCCGGCCCCCTTATCACCCTGCCTGTCGAACCTTCACGGTCTGACAAGGATGCTCTGGTGGAATGAAGTCACCAGCCGGTCATCCCACCGGGGAGCCCTGGGCCATCAGGGATGTATACTCGGCCACCTCTACCTCCTTCCAGAGCCCATGAAGCAAGAGATGGTGGGAACTGTTTGGGAATTGTGAATGTGTGCCTCTGCTCAGGCCCCCAGAGAGTCAGTCCCCTTCGGTTTTTTGTGACGTGTGGACAGTCGCAATCATGAGGAGGAACACCAGTGCAGAGAACACAGCAACTCGTCCTGCGATCCGGGTCCCCGGGCTCCCAGGCCTGGTTCCGACACGCCAAATGCTACGGGGGACAGACCCAGACCCAGGGGGATTGCCTGCCTGGCTGGACGTCACAAGCCGCCTCTGCCAGGGAGCGATCCGTCCCGGCCTAGCACATTCCCCACCCCCTCACCAGACCTGCCTGAGCACTGCCCGCGAGGCTCTCTGACCCAGGGAGGGAGCTACGGGTCCTTGGGAGGGTCTCAGATGATCCCAGCTGCTCTCCACACACATCCTCTTTGAAGTACATTCCCTTGGTGGGTAGGCGCTGCTGAAGGGACCTGCCTGCGCGCCTTTGATCCCCCAACTCTGTCAGGGCCACTCTGGAAGCCCTTCTCCCCTTTGACACAAAGCAGACAGGCTCCTCTGGGGTTCTGTGCTGAGGCAGACTGGCTCTCAGCTCCACAGATAAACAAAACACACTCTGACCCGAGGAGAGGCATCAAAGAAGGGCCAGACCCTTGGAGCTATCGGAGCGCAGGGGAAGAGCGAAGAAGATGGGTGTCTGGGAGGCCCGCCTGCTTCCGCTCGGGACTCAGCCAGCCCTCCAAGGGGGCCGCCCGCACCCTAGGAAACCCACCACGGCGAAGGAGGACCACATTGGCAGAATTCGCCTCAAAATTCTGCCCATGCAACAACCACCCAACAAAAACCACCACCCACCAACCCCTTATGCTCGAGAGCACTGCTTCCGAAGTACTTTCTCCCCATTCTCTCGTTCTGCCTTCACCTCAGCCGCACGGCAGAAAGCAGGGCAGACATGGCCTTGCTTTTCTAGACACAGAAGCGGAAGTGGAGCCAAGTTCAGAGGCCTGATGGCTCTGGGCTTTTCCCATGAGCACATTTTATGTTGTGAGGGTCACTTCAACTTTCAGCAATAATGACAATAATTATGATGTGAATCAACCCATGGCCAGTAGCTACTCTTGTAATCTAGCTTGGCTTCCACATATCTCATCTAATTTCTGCGACTGAAGCATGACTGATTATCCTCCCCATTTTACAGATGGATAAACAGACTCGGAGATATTCAGCGACATTTCTGCGTCTCATGAGTGGCAGAGCCAGAACCCTTTCCACCAGGTGAGGTCGCCTCTCCACGTTTGTGTAGCTCTTGCTTTTCAGATCCTGGCCCAATGAGGCCTGGGGCTCACCTATGCTCCCCTTCCAGGTCTTCTCCTCCTTCTTCTCCTCGGCTAACTGGCTGCTGGTAAGCGAGGTCTGGCGGGAGTGGGTCCCAGTGGCCGCAGCAATGGACGGGACGGAGCGGGCGGGACGCAGGCTCGAGGAGTCCGTCTTCCCGGCGTCTTTACGGGACCGCTGCTGAAGGACCTTAATCATGGCGTCCTTCTCTATGATTTTGGCATGGAGATTCTTAATACTGTGTAACAAAATAAAACCAAATAGTCACAATCAAAAGCTATTTGGCTAAAAAAACTCGAACCATTTCTCTCGGGCTGCCCCAGGGACTTGAAATATAACTCAGGGATGATGAGTTGAGTGCAGCCTAAGTCTAATAATCTGCAAATTAGACTGCAAATTGTAATCCGCAAATTGTACAAAATGGAACTTTTGTAGCAGATCAGAAGGGCACGCTTTCTCTGGCCTCTCCAGAGACTCTGGGACCTCCTGGGACCCCAAGGACATAAAGACAGAATGGCTGTGGCCTCCCAGCAGGGACCTCCTGGACCAAGGTGTGCTCAGGGACCAATTCAGAGGGTCTCGGGTCCCTGGTGGCGGGGGCGGGAGGGGCAGTAGGGAAACTCGAAAACCCTGAAGCCTCACACAGGGTTGGCTTTCCACTAAAGTCAATGTCCCCATTTTCTGAGAAAAGAAAAATAAAAGATGGACAGGTTTTCTGGGAAAAAAGGATTTTATCCCCCTGATGGCCCAAAATGAGAATCAGAAAGCACTTAGTTTCTCTTCTTGACTTGGGTGTAACTGGCTGAGACCGTCAGCTGTTCAGAGCAGGAAGGGACTGGCGGGTCCCGTGGGGGAGTTGAGGAGAGTGGCCACAGCGGAGCCCGGTGGTGCGGCCATGACACGGAAGTCCCTTACGTGTACTCCATGTCCTGACACCTCCTGGTGGCCTGCACCACCTCCTCCTCCTCCTGCCAGATGTGGGCCTCCAGTGAGCTCTCGCCGTAGCTGCCATTCCTCGAGTGGTTGATGATCGTGGTGTCCCTGGGAACACAGGACACACAGACAATGATGTGGATGCTCCTGGGGAGGCGTCCATGGGCACCACGTGACAGTATCTCTCCACAAACTCCTTCCCCCCTCCCCCTCTCCTAAATCCTGGCCAAATCTCCCCCTAAACTTGACAAAATGAAGATAGTGTCTAGGGAAAACAGAATAAAATCCAGAGATCAAAATTCCCTGCCCCTGCTGCTAAGGACATCGGGTATTAAGCTGTGGACCCCTCCTGTACCCCTACTGATAGAGGGGTGCTGTTGTTATTGTATCTGTGTTTCCATGCTTATACTCCTTCATACTTACTCTTTCTCAATCATAAAGTTCTATTTCCATTTCTCACGCACCTAGCAGCGATTTCAGTATTTTGCAGTAAAATGGAGACTCAGCAAATACTTGGAAACACACATTGGTCCTCTCGGACGGTGAGGCTCAGCCGAAATCTTCCTTTGTGCCTGCACATTAGCTCACTTCTAGCTTTATGAGCCCCTGTGTGACAGCCACGCTGGGCGGCAGGGCAGAAAGATGAAGACATACCCTGTCCTTGGAAAGTCCAGTCAAGGAGGTGCATGCAGTGAGGGGAGGGACAGACACGGTGGACTAAAATGCAGGGTAGCTGGAAGCAGGTGTCTGGTCAAAGTCAACTACTCCTCCATTGTTTTTGGTAATTTAATTACTCCTAATTAAGGACGACTGGGAAAAGAAAGATAACGGAGCCATCTAAGTGATCTAAGTATATCTCAGACTGCAAGGCTAGTGTCTCAGACCAGTGAACGCCAAATTGATAAAAGGCCTAGCCAAAGATCTCACATCTCTTTAACTTCATATTCCAATGTCGCAATCATATTTAAAATCTTAATAGCTCTTTTCTGGAACACTCAAGAATAGCAAAGAGAACTCCTTCTTTCATCTCTCTACTGACAGCTATCAATGAATGAGCTTTCCCTTTATGCCGGGGACGGGGTAAAGCACGCTACACAGGGCATCTCACACAGTCCTCACAGCAACCTGGGTAGCTGGTGTTATTATCCTCATTTTACAGGTGAACAAACAGGCTAGGTGGCTTTGTGACAACACTCAGTGAAGGTGGAGACAAATTCAAATTCAGATATTTCTTTTTTTTTTTTTTTAAAGATTTTATTTATTTATTTGACAGAGAGAGACATAGCGAGAGAGGGAACACAAGCAGGGGGAGTGGGAGAGGGAGAAGCAGGCTTCCCACTGAGCAGGGAGCCCGATGCGGGGCTCGATCCCAGGACCCTGGGATCACGACCTGAGCCGAAAGCAGACGCTTAACCACTGAGCCACCCAGGCGCCCCAAATCCAGATATTTCTGTTCATGCCCTGAGCCATCACTCTACACTAGTGAAGCTTCCTGTGTCTTTTTAAAAAATATTTTATTTATTTGAGAGAGAGAGAGAGAGCACGAGCAGGGGGAGGGGCAGAGGGAGACGCAGACCCCTCACTAAGCAGGGAGCCCGATGTGGGGTTCGATTCTAGGACCCTGGGATCATGACCTGAGCTGAAGGCAGGCGCCCCACTTCCTGTGTCTTTATGAAGAAGGCCTCAGCAAAAGGCATGAAGATAAAATAAACCAACAAAGTGGGCGCATGTGAGAGTGTGGTATTTGTGTGAAATGCAACTGAAAATAAACTACAAGGCCAACTAACATAGAAAACAAGCAAAAGCTTTAAACGTCCGGACAGCCAAAAAAGCATTTTGGAAGAAGTGCTCTTGAGCATCAGGGGCTGTTGGTGGTGGTTTTTGTTGTATTGTTGTGCAGGCAGAATTTTGAGGAAAATTCTGCCGATTATGAATTCACCCTATAGTGCACAAAAATCATCACCACAGAAATTAGTGGCTAGAGAAAACATTTTCAACCAATTTACTTTTGGAAAATTCACACAAGGCCAGACACCAATTAAAAAATTCATGTTTATGCTGCCAAGTAAGGATAGCAGGAAGAATTAGATGAAAACATCTCACAAGGTAAACACACATAAGACTCTAAAACATTAGCTACATTGCATTGAAATTTGTAAAAAGGTTCAAAACCATAAAAAAGGCCCAACCCCTCAAAATTCTGATCAATGGTTCCGAAATGCACCAAGATGGCGAAAGCACTTGGTAAACAAAAATCATTTCTTTAAAAATCATTGCTTATAAATGCGAAGCATGCGTCAGTGGCTGGAAAGTTACAAGACGAATGGCTGGTCATTTTTACCAGTTCATATGTGGCCACGTAGCATCTAGACAAGAGCTCAGAATTTTGACCTTTCTCAAAAATTCATTTCCCCTTTCTCCCTTTCTATCAAAAGAAAAGCAGTGCAAAATCACAGAGGTTTTCTTTGAAAGGAACATGAAGATTGGAGCTAACCACCTGACCTCCTCTGAACTGACTTTCCCCCCGATGACGGTGGGAAGGAGTGGTCAGGAAGGGGAAGGTAGTTTCCCACAGAATTATTAGATGCCCAATAAACACATGTGGAAGCAAAGAAGCGGGGGCAGGGGGACTGGTGGAAGGGCCTTGATCCACCTGTGCATCTGAGACTCCAAACGGGGCAGAGGAGAGCTGCCGGCCGGACTCCCATTCTTTGCGGGCAATAGACCAGTGTCCCTTGCCGGAGGGTGACGAGCAAGGCAGGGCCTAGCACAAGTGAGTGGCCGAAGGTGGGGTCTGTCCGGTGCCCACCACAGGGGTCTTATGCTTCAGACCTGTTCATCCCCTGACTTCTGATCTGACATCCCAGTCCCATTTGTCCTCTCGGGGCCCAGACTCCCAAACATGCATCTAACCTGATAAAGCACGGGGAGCGGAGACGACAATGATACACAAAGGCCCCCGTGTCACGCTTCCAAAGTAGCACATTTACACAGCTACTGGGGCTCTACTGTCCTCAGCCGGTGGACTCCGGTGGTTCTCTGCTCCTAACCAGCCAAGAATTACCATTTCTGTTTCAGAAATTAGGTAATTTGTGAAGGAAGTCAGTGACGCTCGGAAAGGCTTATGCGTAATCACATGCCCACAGCCGGCAGCAGAGGAAGAAGCCCTGAATGGGGGTGCCCTGCCTGCCCGGACAGTGTTCCCGCCATTAAAAACCCCACAGAGCGAGACAACTCCCAGGGCCATCGTCAACAGCTGGGCGTTAGACCCAATCTGGCAAAGAAGGCCAAATTCCTCAGTAACGGTCTGGGCAGTTATTGCCTTAGAGAACAAAAAGATGAAAAGAAACACCTCTCAGCTCTGTAAAACTCCAGGCTTCGCTGTTCTCACCCTGGCCAGGAGGACTGATCAGAGGTTGCAATTCCCTCCAGCTCTCCCACCATCACTCTGAGGTTCCGCCACACAACACACCTCTCGAAGGTCTGCTCCGGCTCCCAGGTCTCGCTCAGAGGGGCTACCGTGGGCTGTTTTCCCTCACGCAGACATATGTAACCAAGCGCTAGAAATCGATCCCCGGTGGTCATTTTCCGCACGAGTCTGCAAGGTCTCTCCAGGTGCGAGCACCTGTGGCCTCGTGGATCGCACCGCTCTCTCTCCAAGTTTCTGGGGGGGAACCACTGGAGGTACCATTCCTGGGGGTTCTTTTCTACATGAGTAATGAATGTGAGAGCCACGAGACCTTATAGAGTACCCCCATGCCCTCCAGCCCAACAGGCCTTCTCTTCCTCATTGAAGAAAAAAATAACAGGGCCCCCAAAACGTGGGACTGACTATATGATGGGGCTGCATCTGGTGTTTACTCCTCACCTGGTTCAGGTCCCACACTCCCAAAGGGTTCAACACGGCCCGTATTTTTTTTTTTTTTAAAGATTTTATTTATTTATTTGAGAGAGAGAGACTGAGAGAGAGAGAGCATGAGAGGGGGGAGGGTCGGGAGGGTCAGAGGGAGAAGCAGACTCCCTGCCGAGCAGGGAGCCCGATGCGGGACTCGATCCCGGGACTCCAGGATCATGACCTGAGCCGAAGGCAGTCGCTTAACCGACTGAGCCACCCAGGCGCCCCAACACGGCCCGTATTAAGTCCAGTTTCGTGGATGTTCCTCTGAGATTTGAGGATCTCCTCCACCTATATTGACCCTGAACTTTGATAAATCTCAAACAACTGTGAATGAAATGCCCAGGGCATCTATGGGCCCACAGCCAAGTGGTAAGGCAGGGAGGCAGCGGGAACCCTGACTGTGAGATGCACGGCCCCTCAAGTCGGGGGTGGGGGTCGGGGGGACAAGACTGTGTGCAGGTGAGTCCCAGCAGTCAGGGAAAAGCACCTGCTCATTTAGACAAGAGGATGCTTTAACAGAATTCCTTTGTCAATTATCAAGCATTCTGAGCTCATTTTTATTTTTTTTTTAAAGATTTTATTTATTGGAGAGAGGGAGATTGTGAGAGAAAGATCACGAGCAGGGGGTAGGGGCAGAGGGAGAAGCAGACTCCCCGCGGAGCAGGGAGCCCGGCGCAGGACTCAATCCCAGACCCCGGGATCATGGCCTGAGCCAGAGGCAGATGCTCAACCAATTGAGCCACCCAGGCGCCCTAAGCTCATTTTTAAAGGGAGGATAAGGCTGTGTGCCCACAAAAAGGAAGTAAAGCAGCAGAGGTAATAACTGACAACAGCAACAACTTCAAACCTAAAGAAACCAGGCTTCGGGTCACATACAGCTCCAGGGAACACGAGGCCCCAGCGATCACGGCCAGCGTGACTGGGAATACACCAGCACACTGCTCTGAGCCTCATTTCTTCACCTGCAAAACGAGGCTACTAACAGTTCCTGTTGGGCCCTTTGGGAAGGTGGGACCTGAACCAGGTGAGGAGCGGATGCAGCCCCACCTTCTGGTCAGGCCCACGTTTAACGAGGATTAAATCTCATCTGGCCCATGACACATACATGCTGTTAAGAGAGAGCGTGACATACTTGCACGATGTCACTCCTGAGGACCACGTAGTATCCCACTGCGTGGGGGTGCTCTCAGCGACTGAACGCATCCTCTGGATGCACCGCAGGCGGGCCTCACCTCTCAGCAGCTGCCGTGGCCGCAGCGTTCATGGCAAAGTGTCGGATGGTACTCTCCTCCAGGTACTTCTGCTCCCACTTGGTCATGTCGGCCTCCAGGGCCAGGATCCGCTCCTCCTTCTCCCTCACAAGTTCCATGAGGGCCGGGGCATTATACTCTGGCATGCCGGTTGGCTGGCCATTCCCATGTTTCTGAGAAGCAAGAGAAATACGCATCTTGAGGTGGGAAAGGGGCAGACCGTAGAAACAGGGTGTGCGGACCCCACAGCCCACTCCCACACTGTCTTCATGCCCCTGCTCCCTCTCCTATGGGCACGACGTGAACCCTTCAGGTCCTACCGCCAAGGGTCACCGTCCAAATTCCTCCACCCCGAATTCTCATGCAACTCTGTAAGACGACCTTATCCCGATGTTAGAGGTGAGAAAACTCAGCTTCTGGGAGGCAGAATGAGCTGTTCACTCCCTCAGCTACTCAGTGGTAGCATCGGACCAGGGTCCATCCGGCCACACAGCCCTGCAGGACTAGAAGCAGCTTGTCCCATGTCCTGCGCTTCACTTAGACCAAAATCAACAACAGGAACGAAGTCTTGGCCTGCTGGACTAGGGCATTTTCTGCAGAGCTCAAGGAGTTGATTCCCACTGTTTGTTGCCCCTGAGCCTGGGAAATTAGAATGGAAAGGCAAAGGAAGGGGAGCGAGATGCCCCGAAGTACATGCTCCCCTGGGTGCAAGGCTGTCATCTGGGACACAGAGGAAGGACTGTCTGCCCCACTGAGGGGCCTCGGGAGCAAATTAGCTACTGCCTATGAAAGCCTTTAATTAACTTTAAAGGGCTAACCAAAATAAAGTGCTACCGGAAATCCGCGTATGCAAGTCAAGCTAATTTTTCAGCCCTTTCTTTTCGTCTGGGTCTGGGAGATAGGAAATAAAGCGGTTGTGTTATTCGGACCGCTCGCAAGTGAGGATATTGACGTTTCAGGTTTCTTTCCTCCTTTTAACTCAGGTATGTTATCTCCTCTAAACTGCATGACTTGCAGGACGGTGGGGTTTTGAGGAGGTTCTGCCTTCAGAAAAGAATGACTTCTCCCCGTTATTCCTTGTGTTTTCTGGTGATCACAAACTGTAAACGCAGGGCTGGGTGCAAGGTGAGGGGTCCCTGAACACTTTACCGGGAACCACACCCATTACCCAGAGCAACAGCTCGGCGAGTGAGCTGCACGCACAGAATCTAATCCTACCAGGGAGACCAGAGCAAATGGGCCCAGGGGCTTTCTATAACCCACATGTTTCTATTCAGTTTTTTAAAGCTATCTAATTACCAATATTCTAGAATCTGGTGGTTGCTTGCCAGTAACCAACATTTAGGCAAGAATAGAGCAGAAAGCTCGTAACTGTCCTCATCAACCTGTACAAAAAGCCACTGACCCCGTCTGGCCAGGCACTGACCTCAGGCAGGGGGACAAATGAACCAGTCCATTGAGATGATAAACTCCCTTGCTGTCAGAAACCGTCCAAGAAAAAGACCCCACAGCTTGGCTAAGCTGTCATCTATGCCTGTCATTTTCTGTCTCACTCCCTTGTGATGGCATCTCAGCTGGCTGATTTCTGCAAAATCCTCTTGGCCTCACATGAGGTCATGGCACCTCTTCACAGGGCCCCCGATGCAGGTCATTAAGAGTTATTTAAATAGGGCGCCTGGGTGGCTCAGTTGGTTAAGCGACTGCCTTCGGCTCAGGTCATGATCCTGGAGTCCCTGGATCGAGTCCCACATCGAGCTCCCTGCTCAGCAGGGAGTCTGCTTCTCCCTCTCCTGCTCCGCCCTCTTGTGCTCTTTCCCTCTCTCACTCTCTCTCTCAAATAAATAAATAAAATCTTTAAAAAAAAAAAGAGTTATTTAAATAAAAGCATGAATTTCAACATTCAAGAACACGAACACAGCATGGTCGAATGGATAAGCATGCCGGCCAGAAAAACGGGCTGAGGGTCAGGCAGGCCAGCTTTTGCTGCGCACTCAGCTAGTGCACAGATATTCACTGAACACGTACCTGGTGCCAGGGATAGCACAGGGAGCGATACAGATACGATCTCCGTCCCTCAGGTTTTCACCTCGGAGGAATGTCCTAATTAGCTAATGACCTTGGGCTGGTCTCTCAACTGCCTTGTGCCTCATTTCCCTCTTCGAGAACATTTTCCCCCTTCTCTCTTCCACCTCATGGGGCTACCGTGGTAGTGAGATGTGACAATTATCTTGAGCTCTTTGCAAGAAAGAGAAGATGGTGAATTCTTAAACGTGTTCATTTCCCTTCCACTTACCTTCATCTTTCTTCTACCTCCTCTCAGCTTCTAATGATGCTAAGTACGATTTCGCTTCCTACGGTGGAGGGAGATTCCTTATAATAACAAGGATGATGGAGTTGAGTCTGGTTTCGCAGCACCCAAAATAGAAGATCCAAGGAGAAGTAATCTGATTGTAGGGTGTGGGTGGCACATTAACTAGAAAAGAATATTCTCTTTTGCTCTAAGTATTGAGATGCACTCTTTTTGTCAGCCACAGACTCGTAAGTATCCCTCAGATGCCAGCATGGTACCAGGCACCAGAGAAGCCTACCTTCAAGTTGGGGAGGTCAAGATCTCAGTAACTGAGAAGAACTCAAGGGTGGGCCTTAAATACCAGGGCATATGGCACAGGCCAGATGGATCGGAAGTCCAGAGACAGACTCACCCTTCCTACGAGCTAGCAACTAAGCCAAGATGGTGGGAGGCCGGGTGGGATCCTTAATTTTCTGGGCAATCTCACTAACACCTCCTTCCCTAGCCAAGTACACACACCCAGAGCAAAATGTGTGTGCCTGCCATGAGAAAGAGCTGAGTTGGCCTGACCAGATGCTTTCAAGTGTTTTCAAGTATTCCAACCACAACCACTATGCTCTATCCAGTAGATAATTCCGTGAAGCCCTGCCTTGCATTTCCCTGGTTCCCAGCTTAGAGCACACCCTCCAGCAGCTGCACAGAGGGCTTTGCCCACTGCACTGGCTGATGACACACAAGCCCCAGCCTCTCTCTGGAGCCAGGAGCCTTTGACCAGTGGATAATGGAGCCCAGCCCAGCTGCAGAGCTTTCCTTGCTGAGGCACAAATGGACCCGGGCTGGGGTGTGTAGCTCTAAGCTTTTAGCAGCTAGGTTATATCGACAGCTGTTACTGACAGAAAGAAGGAAAGGCGTAAGAGCTAGGAGCTTATGGCCAGTATTATATCCTAGGGATAGTCCTGAACTCCTTCCTCTCCTCTATCTCTGAAAACTCACTCATGATCACACCTGACTCATTTCACCCTCTTACTAGCTCCCGCATGGAATCCCACTTACTAGCTCCCACATGGACACCCTCGATGGCACCAAGAGCCTTCAGGCTGGCCCCCCGGACTTCCACATTCACCCCTCCAGATCCTCCTGACACCATGAGATGGCTCTTTCTCTGATCCGCTGTCCCATGTTCCTCTCCAGCTTAAAGAGCTCCCAGTTATTGGCTCTCTGCTGACCACAGAAACAAGAACAATCTCTCAACTTGACCAGATGCCTTCCACCAGCTGGCCTCTGCCTCCTCAGCAGCGACCTCGCTGTGCATTCCCCACCAGCTAGCGGCAGCCGGACACCTGGAACGCGCCATGCTGTTCCGTGCCATGCTGTTCCGCACCTCTCTCCCCTATGCAAAATCCTCTGCTACCTCTGATGTTCGTCCCCCAGAATGTCCAACAAACTCATCTTTCAAAGGCTGACTCAAATGTCCTCCCTTGTGAAGTTGTCTACAGTCGCATTCCCCTGTGCCAAGCCCCCGGCAGTCAGCACTTTCTCTCTTTAAGGACCTTTGTCACTGCAATGAGTGGACTGCCTGGTTCCTCCACTGGCCGCAATGTTGGTTCGCTGGGGACAGGGAGAGTTCTCATCCCCCTCTGAGTCTGCAATGCGCAGTACACAGCCTGAACCACAGCAGGGTGCTAGAGGAATGTGTGGCCCTGGCCTCACCTGCTGGGTCCTCAGCGCATCCAGCTCTCTCTCCAGCCAGGTCCGCAGTCTCCGCTCCATCTGCTCTCGCTTCTCACACGCAGACTGCAGCTGGCTCAGGGCCTGCTGGAGCTTCTCCACCTTCTCCACATAGGCTTGCTTCTCTCGTAACTAAGCAGGGGACAGTGAAGACGAGCAGAGAACTTAGACTGGCAATTCCCAAAGCTGGGGTGGAGGTGGGTGGGTAGGGGGTCAGATTACCTGGGGATCCTGTTTGAACTACGAGTGCATGGACCTTCCCTAATGCCATCCCTCTGCTGTGCTGGGACAGAAGGGATTGACACAAAGGCCACCAGTTACACCTAGAACGGATGGGATGCTTGGAATGAGAGACCCCTACCAGGGCACCTGCTTTCAGCCACGGGTCCAGCTCTGAGCTCCATCCTCGGTGACTGCTTAATCATGACAGCATTTGCAGACATTGGAAATGAAGTTAGTAAAGGGTTTTTAAGGCCACAAGGAAAAGCTTATTCTATAATGTTAAGTAAAAAACCCAGAATCAAAAATTCTATACATGCTCACAGCTCCGCCTGCCTGCCTATCAACAACGCACGGAAAAAGACTGGAAGGAAAGACTTAAAAGCATCCCCCATGTTTATCTGTATGGCACAACAGGAATTTCTCATCTTCCTTATTCTCTTCTGAAGTTTTCAAATCTTCTATAATAACTGTAACTTTCTATCACAAAGAAATTGTAGGTGTATGTACACATTTGTGTGTGAATAAAGATAAAATGTCCTATTGTAGATATTTGCGGAGTAACTTTCTTCTAAAGAGTTCTGAGCCCTTTATAGAGGGGTAGTGGACAGCCCTGGAGAGACAGGAAGGGCACGATGAACCCTCAACCACCACCATAACCGAGGAGATGGAAATTGAGGTAAAAAGGATTTATGGAAATGTCACATCAGGCACGGAATTTAGAATCAAGATTGACAACTTCAACTCTCACTCCCGGACTTTGTTTTCCTCCAATTAGGAGCCTGGCTCATGCCCATAAATCCCAGGCCCCTTTCTAACTTTCTGGGAATCGGCTCATGCCAAACGCCAGGCTGAGGCGTTGACTTGATCCGGTCATGGGTGAGAAGATACCAGATGGTAGCTCCTGTCTGCACCTGGGTGTGCTGATGCCGTGACGGTGATTCAGATCCTGAGCTCGGCCCGCGATTGCACTGGCAAGTGGGAACATGCTAGTGGTTGAAGAGCCTGCTGCAAACAGCCATTTGTTACTTCGCAGGCAGCACCGTGGGGAGCTCTGCCTATATCCTGGCCACAGTCACTGGGTAAGATGGAGGTGCTTCTGACCTTTGGGGGGCGGGTGGGCAGCAACCCCACGGCCTTTTCTAAACCTGCTCGTGGCATCATTTTCCATTGGGCCCTTTCATTCACTGTGCTTTTGATGACTTGATTCAGTTGGATAGACATTTGAGGACTTACTAACTGCAGGCTTCTGTGCTAGAAGCTGATTCAGCTGAGAAAACATTTTGAGTCCCGTTCATACACTACTTATCCTACACAGTACATGCAGTTTTCTGGGTATGCATGCAGCCACTAGAACAGAAGGGCCATGAGATCTGTGCATTTCGGTCCCTGCTGGGCCGAGGTACACGGTGTGTCCCCAGGGCCTGCAACAGTACCCGCCATCCAGTACGTACTCAAGAAATATTTGTTGAATGGAGAGCTCTTATTCCTAATCAACTACAAGATCCTTGAAGGCATGGATCTGTCTCATTCACCTTTGTCTCAGCCTTTAGTTTAGCAAGGAGTATATTAGAATGGGGATGATTAGGAATAAGAGTTCACATCAACCAATGTTGTTGAAGTTTCTCCATGCCAAGCATTGTGTTTTATATGCAATGATCTCATCGAATCCTCCCGATATCAGTAAAGGGACAGCTCCTCTGTTATCTCCATCTAAGAGAGAGAACTGAAGAGCTTACATGACTTAAAGTCACACACTGACATGCCAGGATCAGGATTCTAATTCACTGGAGTCTGGCCCTGGAGTCAGCGTAAGCACTCGGTATGAGCTATCTGAACTGAATTAAGACCCCTCAAAAGAAACTTTAATAAGAACGGGGAGTGATACTGGAAAGCAGACAAAAGAGAGATTCTGGAGAAGCTACACACAATCAAAGATCTTCTAGAATGACAAGAACATCCACAGTAGTGATTAAAAAAAAACACCTGTCTTTAAGGAGCTCGCAATTAACTTGTACTTTGTTAGAAATAATAAAATTAAAAGATTTTTATAAAATTATGATTTTTCCTTGGCTCCACACATGGAGATGGCACCTGACTAATTTCATGATGAGGAATCCTGGCCTCCCGTCCTCAAAGCAGACCTTGTGTCCTTTAGGGATTAAGGTCGCTTTCTCTGCCAAACGTACGTCCTAGCTGATGAGTTCCACAGCGGTAAACGAGAATCCTCTGGGGCTGCTGCTTGGGTCCTCGCGCTAGTCTTAAAACTGCAGTTCCTCTATAGGACTTGTGGGTTTAAAAGGCTTTTAGCAAACAAGCCCTTTGTTGACTTAACAACCTTCCCGTTAAGCTGCTTGAATGGCAATGCTGAATTTGCTGGGACACTTGAGTTACCCAGCGTCAGGAGAGGTCTTCTGAAGGGGTCGCTTTTCATTCTCGACAACAGTTGGATTAGTAACAACCCTGTTTGCTGTGAGCCAACCACCAAAGTCAGTACTTTGTGTGGAATATCTTACTTAGGCCTCTTTCAGACTTTGAGTCTCTACTTTCGGCAGTGGCTCTGCGCAGGTCAGGCCCCATGACCTGGGGGGCTTGCTGCCATGGGGGGCTGGCAGATGCGGGGCAGCAGGCTCCTGTCCTCCTGCCTAGGCCGCTCCTCCTTCTCAGCCACCGTGTCTGTAGTCTGAATCCCCTAGCCCGAACCTCAGAAACGGTCGATCCACGTCCACAGTCAGGCTTCATGGCATAGTCTGCCTCACAAAATGCCATCTAAATGGTTGATTTAATCAGAAACCACTAAATCCATAATGCTTGAGAGGGATCAAACTTTCCTGGACGAGGGGAGTCATTGTCCAGCTGAGCCAACTTCTGGAAACTGGAGACCGGTTTGCTGAATGCATGCCAACCGCACCCTATCAGAAGACTTTTGCCTTTTTTTTTTTTTTTAAAGCAATCAAGAGCCCAAAGACAGAGCAGATAAACTATTTAAAAAACAAAAAACTGTTAGCCTCTTTTCTCTACAGGCACCAGTGGTTTCCAGTCCTTCCGTTTGTTTCCAGCCCTGGACACTTGCCAACCAATGGGCTGCAGGCTGGGTTTCGGGCAGAACGTGAGCTCTTTCACGGCTGCGTTTCAGACTTTGCCTGGCTCTGGGCTGGATAAACTCTGTTGGTATTCATTTTTATCTGGGAGGCCTCCTGTCCCTCCCCCTGACTCAAAGCTTTGGAGCTGGCTCCAGTGAGGGGTGCTAGTTGGGAAAAGGAAGTGGAGGCCCTTGGGCTCTGCCCCCACCCCGTCTCACCTCCTCCTCCAGCTTGATGACTCTGGCCTGGGCGTTGCTCAGAGCCTGGTCCAGGATCTCAATGTGTCTCCGGTGGTCCTCGCTCGCGGTCCGCATGGCTGCTAACTCCATTTCCAACTTCTCCTTCTCCTTCAAGAACTCTTTGTCTAGAAGGGAGACAAGAACAAAACTACCTCTATCAGAAAGCACTCCCCTCTGGGCTCATGGCCAGTCTACATCTGGCAAGGATTAGAAATAAAAAAGCATGCAGAGAGTGGAGGGTTGAATTACTGCTTTGCTCCCTCTTAATAGCAGTGATGTGTGAGGTAAGGATTTGCTCAAAAACCACTGTTAACTCTAGACACATTCCAGGTCACAGTACCAGAGACAAACAGGACACCAAGAACTAGTGACCCCGTATTCTCCGTAACTCACTGCTGTACAACATTTACTTTCGTGCTTCTTGTTAACCTTGTACCTATGATTTCATTTTATGCTCATGCTCACAACCTCCCCTGCTTCTGTCTTCCGAACCCATGATGAAAGGGCAGGCAGGACTAACAATACTAATATTCTCATTCACAGAAAAATAAACCAAGGTCTAGAGGGTTCAGCTCTTTGCTGAGGCCAGACAGCAGAGGGGACTCCAACCCAGGCCTCCAATCCTGTGCTGGATCCTCTTCCCATGACCTGGCCCCCCACATCTTCTCCAAGTTCTGTTCAAGAGGGGAAAGGGTTATTGCTTTGGATTTAGGGACATTGCTCTGGGTTTAGGAAATGGCTTTCCTCTCATTCAATGACAGTGTAACTGATGGTGATCACAGGGTGTGGAGTTTAACAGCTGCCCTGCATTCAGTAGCCTCCACACGGCCTTCCTGGAGACTAACTACCACCTTAGCTTAAGCAGGGACGGCCAATGGCGTCATGGCGTCAGTACTGTTTATCGAAGATATTTTTCCTGTTAACAGAAGCAACACATTTTATTTTAAATATAAATTAGAATATTTAGTCATGTTGTTCATAACACGGAAAAACTTGAATGGATGCAAGGTGCAAGACTGTACACTCTAGGGGGCGGAGCAAGATGGCGGAGGAGTAGGAGACCTGGATTTCGTCTCCTCTCAGGAATTCAGCTGGATAGGGATCAAACCATTC